GGGGGGGGGGGCGGGGGGAGGTGGGAAGAGGGGCGGTGGGGGAGGGAGGGCTCTGCTTCTCCTTGCCAGTTATCCTGCCTTCATTACCTTCTGAGACACTTGCACACTATTCTCCTGCATATTCATTATAGCATCGGAAATCTTCACATCGATGGGATCCATGACCGATTCGATGTTGAAAGGACCCTCAAGCCTCTCCGCCACCATCAGCATCGCATCTAATAGGACGTTTGGGGAAAAACAAAACAGCAGAAAAAGTAAACCGTTAGTTCGGCCTTGGGTCATCAGTCTGATTATCTTACTGCCTTTGTTTCCGGTGGGGGGTAGGGAAGAAGGCATGCGTCATAATCAATTCATGTTTTTACGTCTGTTTCTATTACACAAGCTGCATTTAGTCACCGTGTATTGCTAGCTCTCTAAAGTGTGAAACGGCCAGGTGAATGCTTTATTCCACAGCAAAGAAACCCAATCGGGAACATTCTATTGTACTGATTATTCATTCCTCGTGTGTCGGTGGCTGTCACTGTAAGGCTCCGAGCTAGCTCCTGCTGACAAACCTAAGGCTGGGGGCAGAATAACATGCCACTTCTCCCAGTGACTTCCTAGGATCTTTTCATTTAGGTTCCATTTACAAGACTCAAAAACATAAATCCGTTAAAATCCTGGCATATCATTTCCTTTCTTTCATTTTTTAAATGAAACCCTTTCAGCTCCTTGAGCGCACAGTTGGAAAGTACAAATGACAGTGTTCCTAGGAATTCTAATGACTTTTCAAATAATGCAAATTTGAAAGATGCAATTTTGTATTAAGATAAACTTCCCATTTCAAACACAAGGGCCTCGAGTTAAAGCAAAACATGTGCCTCTTTTCATTCGGGTGAAAAGACAACACAAGACACAGTACACAAAAAGCCTGTGCTCACAGTGTGAGTCTTCGCGGATTACTCTGCGAGTCACCTTGGCCTTCTGGAGGAGTCTAGAATGTTTTAGTACACGTCGAATCTCTTAAACAAAATATGTGGTACTTGTTTTTCTGCCGTAGGTGTTTGTGGGGATTATGAGGCTTAGTATTCTTGCCTGATTATCCTGGTCAAAATTAGAGGAAACTGGAAATGAGGAAAAGGCTGCTTCACTCCTGACGAGCACTGAACTCTTCAACTTGTTTGCTCTCCTTTCCGCTCCGGTGCTTAAGGCCCGGCAGGGAAAGGATCGTTAGGCCCACATTATCTACAGCCTCCAGGTAGGCCAAGGACAGCTCCCCAGCAAGGAGGGCTAGTTTCCAGAAGACTATAGGCCCTTCTCGGAGAAGACTGCAGGCCACCACCATCTTCTACCTCAGCTTTCTGGTGCAAAGGAGTTTTGGCATCAGCCTGTCAATGAAATCCAATCTGCTCATCAACCTTTCACCTTCCACCTAGAACAGACGCAACACAACATCTGAAGGCGTGGGGGTCCTTTCTCTAAGCTGCAATTCCAATGTCACAAACCACAAATAGATTTCCGTGAAATGCATTTTTTTTTTTTAAATAACAAATGAAGTTTCAGATTGCATTGTGGTAAGCACCAATAAAGTGACGCTTCCAACCTCTAAGTAAAGACTGCCAGCATGAATATAGCATTGTACTAGAGGGGGAAAAATGCTTTTGATGTGCTAGCAAAAGGAGACTTTTGTAAACAAGTGGAGCACAACGTCAGTGTGTTCATCATTGTCAAAGCATCAGGGCTGCCGCGTACAGAAAGCACATTCTTTGCAGAAGAAGTCGCTTGCTCCAAATAAAAATATTATGAATAGACAGATAATCAACATCCAAAATGCAGAGGTTTAAACAAGAAAAAGAAAAGAAAAGAAAACAGAGCATTTTGAAACTACTCATTCCCCTAGTGGCGAGGAAAGGCTGGATCACTAATATGTTTGTGAAAGGCTCAAAGGAAACATAAACCCGATTCTTCTGGCTGTTTGGCGTCTTTGTCAACTCTGGGACTGGAGGGAAGCCGGGCCTTTGTTGGGGCCGATGCCATGGCGTCCTGCGCGGGGCGGCTGAGGAATGCGCTGAGCAGCCTCCCGCCCCTGGGGGGAGTCCTGGTCGGCTCTCAACGAGGCCCTGCCCTAGAAGCAGCCAGCCCCGAGGGAGATCCAAAGATGGTGGGTGTGAGGTTGTTTTTCTTCTGGTGGGTCTAGGCTAAAGGTCCCTCATTTCCGGGATAGCTGACGGGTCCCTGCCTCCTTCCAGCAGCCCCGACACCCCGACACCCCAACACCCCAACACAAAAGTCCTGCGACCTGAGTACGGTTGGCGTCAGGTGAATGTTAAGGCAACCACAGTGCGTGATGGAAAACAAGGTGCCACCAAGCAGAATGTATGGTTCTCTAGAAACTGACTGTTCTGGGGGTGGCGGTGGGGAGTATTTGGTCGACCTTTTGAGGCAACCTCTTACAAAACCAAGTCCAGTGTGTTTCAACTGTTTGGATCCATCTGGATCAAGGCTGACAACAATTCAAGAGAGGGAAAGGAGGCCACGGCAGCAAGAAGGCAGATGTGGAAAACTTAGCTTGAGTCTCTTCAAGGGCCTGGTCCAACCTCGGGCTCTCAGCGCTCAGGCTATGGGCACTGGGTCACCCCCACCCAGCCACAGAGCATCCCTCCCTTGTACCAGGCAAAGTGAATCCTTTCGCACTATGCCACCAATAACCACAAACCCCCATCTTCAGCCTCATGACCCACCGGGAAAACAAAAGGCAGTTTCCTGACTTAACCCCAAGATCTGATTTAAAGAAGTGGGGGGGAAAGCTCTTCGCTGTTCATTAACTGCAGTCATTTAAAGGGGTAAGAAAAATTCTTTGCAAAGAAAAAAAAAAAAAAAGGAACTTCGAGCAGAGGCATGCAAATTGGGACTGAATTCTACAACCACAGAGCAAATTAAACCCTGGTGAAAATTCATAAAAAAGCACTGGGGATTAACAATGTCTATTACTCCTGGCCTGTTAGATCAGCTTATGGGACATAAAGAATAAAATACCCATTAAAAATTAAGTTTAGATACAATTATATACCTCATCCCTCCAAAAAGGATCATTTCAAAGAGCTGAAGAAAATGGATTGAGAAATCTGATCAATTTCCACTTGGGTTTAATTTTGTTTCTTGAAAGAGAGCAAATGTAGGTTTTAAAATTCTCAACAAGAACAACAGCAACTCACTCCTCCTTGCTTTAGAGTACCTGCTTGAAAACATTAATTAAGCAGGCCACAGTGTGGTTTTGATTTGATGTGGACCTGCAAACTCTTCAGAAAAATATGAAAAAAAAAAAAAAAAGCGCACAAGAGAATTTGTATTTTAATACAATGAGTTACAGTTTCTGCCAGACATGTTAGAATAAGAGAATAGTGCGAGGGACACGGCCCTCTGCACCTTACTCCTGATCGATCCATAGAAAAGTTGGCAAAACTCGAGGGCTGTCACTCCACACTGTGCTGTACAGTGAATTCTCCTCCTTTGCCCGGAGAACAAGTACATTAGATGCTATAAAATAAAAAGGCTAACCAACATTTACAAAAATGAATTTAGCAGAAGCGAACTGCAAATTTGGCAAGTGGGTGTGGGGGTGAGGGTAGGATTGAAAAAAGAGCAAAAACATCAACTTCAGATCTGGAAATGCCACGAGCTTTTCTTTCCCGGGGGGAAATATTTAAAGCAACAATTTCTCCCATGGCTTCCTTCTGGGCACGATGGGCCTCCGCTGCCCCACCTTCCCTTTCATGGGACTCGGCTCTCCTGCGTGTAGATTTTCTCAGGTCTTCTCGCTTTGAGCTATTTAGGCTACAATTTTGCTGAAGTGCTTAATATTCACATCTTTTTTTATTCCTGTGTCAGTGTTCTCAAGAATCTGTTGGAGCCAATTTATTGATGCATTTTCAAACAGTTAATATGGTAATTAGCTCTCATGCAGACTAAAAAGCCTTCTCTCCAACACCAATCCCCCACCCCAAAGGTGCCAGCAAATTGCATACATGTTCCCATGATGTGAACAAATAAGTGAAAAACAGGTGCTTCTAAAGCCACTTACGTGCTGCAATTACACAAACGTGACGGGGATGGGGGAAGAGCAAAGTCTGTTTTGTGAGCCATTAGCGCGCATGCGCGCATCTGTGTGTGTGTGTGTGTGTGTGTGTGTGTGTGTGTGCGCACGCGCACGCACGCGCGCGCAGTGCCAGCAGCACAGGGAACCAGGAGGTTTCAGGACTAAGCTGTGCATGAAGAGCACATCAACCAAGTCGATGGCCGGACATTTAAATGATCCTTAACTTGTCCTTTCCCACCGATGTTGATGAATCCTCTTGGAAAGTGGGTACCCCACTCACATTGCTGTCTGGATTCTGGGTGCCAGGGACCTGTGAGAATGCTTACCTCTAAAATGACTAGAGCAAAAGGGCCTCCGTGCTCACCGGAGCAGTCGGTTACTGTTAAATCCTCTATAGAAAGAGAACCCCTAAAGTCCCCCCAATCCGGTTTCACTTGATTCAAATACCCAACGGGCATCCGGCCGGTGTGCGGAAGGCTCGGTCGCAGTGTGACAGAATGATTTCAAAGCTCAGTCAGTGATGGCCATACTCCAGCATTTACAGGGACACAGCCTATGATGCGTAACTAAAACGGACCTTTTGGGGGGGGAAGTGCCAAGAAGTCACATTCTCCTTATGACAACTTGCGATTCACCGTGTCTGAGGTCTTCCGTAACGCCACCACTTGTTCAAGGAACATTTACTTGTAGACTGGTGTGAACTTTGTTTGAGTACAGTGGGAACCCTGGCCAACAAGAAATAAGGAACAGAAGAACTTCCACAGACGGTAATTACAATATTCCCCGTGGCCGGAAGCTGAGCATTCTCCAGTGACGGAAACCCCTGCCTCGCTCACTCACCTATGAAATTGTTCCATTCAAACTCGAGATCCCCTTGGTTGGCCAGACAGCCTCTCATGATGTTCGAGCAGTAGTTGTAACACGGCTTCACACTCACGAGCCCCTGGCAGTGGGAGCAGTAAAGCATCTTCAGCAAGGCCTCGGCACACTGCGCTGTGGGACTGACCTAGTTTGGGGGAAGACAAAGACAACGTGGGGCAGTGATAACACAGACATTCCAAGTGCATCCAGTTGACCTTGAAGGTTTGGCCATGAATTGAACTTAAGAATGAGTTGTGATGGATCACACTGAGCAGGCCTGGCCTGCTGCTTCTAGAGGAAGATTAGATAAAAGGAAGGGGTCTGCTGGGAAGAAGGTGGGTGGGTGGGTGGGGGTAGAGGCAAGAACACCGCTTGACCATAAATAACCCAGGTGCACATACTTCCCACCCTGTAGACTCCCATGCTTCCTCCATCCCGCTCCCCGCCCCCCCAACACACACACACTCACTCTCACTCATTTTATGTGGCTCAGTTGTTCCAAAGTCCTCGTACACACACAGTTCCAGGATCGGCCAGGAGACACAGGAGTAGAGACGACCTTCTCCTGCCCACTGTGCATGGCCTGCTGTGGCCTCTACCATCACTGGGTCGGCCTCGGACACTTAGCCCCCCCATCGAGGTGTAGCGGGGTACCTAGTGTGTACTCCCTTCTGTGCCCATAGCTGTGCTGAAGGCCAAACTCAATGTATCCTACAGGCAAGAAGGTGAATACATGTAAACTTGGGGTGAGGTGAAGGGCTTCCAAGGCCTGGGAACAGTAAAGCAGAGTGCTCAGGGAACACTCGATGGAAGACAGGAGACTTCAGTGACACTGGGGAGAAAGGGTTGGATTTAATTGGCCCACTGAAGGGAGAACGCCCCCACCAGGGAGAACGCAGAGTGCCTGGGGTTGAGGAATTGTGGGAAAGACAGCTGGCTGCCCAGGAAGGAGCGTGTGCGTGGCCAGAACTGAAAGGCACGTGAAGACCAGGCAGAAACAGAGATACCATTCGGCAGGCCACAGGGGGCTACGAAAAGTTCACGAGGAAGGGAAGCAGCAAGGATAAACGTGGTACTGGCCGTCCTCGGCGGAGAAATGAGGCGTCGTGTCCTCTTTTCGCTTCCACCTGTCCTGCATCTTCATCAATGCTTAGAAAGGATCATGGCCAGCCATCACTCATGGGCAGCTAACCCAAGGTTTCTGTCTTCTTGTTCTCTCTGCCCCGCCCTCTGCTTTCTGAGTCACTATCGGAGGATTAGTGCGTTCCTCTCTATCAGCACCAACCAGTGTTCTGAGCAAAGTTTCCAAAGCAGATACCGGGGCAGGGAACAGATGCTGGGATGCACTTCACCTGCTCTGGAGTGTGACTTTGGAGACCGCTTATCAACAGTAGCCTTAGGAACAGGAACGAGGGATTAGAACTGTCAGGAGGAAAACTTAACACCACTGGGCTCCTATCTGGTGTACACACACACACCGCCTCTTATCCCCACCAGAACTCTGGCCTCCAACAACAAGCTGGTAATTGTGTATGTCAGAGTCAACATCCGCTCCCAAGAATTAGGACCTTGCCGCAGTTTTTAACCGAGCCCAAATTAGTCCTTTTCACTGTGCTTTAATGGGCAGTGAAATCTTGGCTACCCAATATCCTGGGGGGATGGCCAGTCTGGAGGGCTAGATTTTCTGGATAGCTAAAAGTCCAATCTTTTAAAGTCATCGATAGTTAGGACTTCAATACCTGTCTGCCCCACCCCCTCACTTTACAGATGAGCACGCAAGCCTGGAGAGAGGAGGTGGCTGGAGAATGCCAGGATCACAGAAGTCAGAGCTGGGACGGGCCTTAGAAGTCACATCGTCCGGCTCTCCCATTTAAGAGACAAGAAAAGCAAGGCCACACAGATGAACGGACTTGCTGATGGTGCCCCCGCTACATCGGATTCTAGCACTGCACCTTATCAAACATTGCCCAGAGAGCTCACGGTTCCCGGCCTTCTCCAACACAGGCCGTGAACTCTCATCTTAGGCATACTTGTTTCCTCTGTAGTTCGGCTCCACGTTGATGATACCCCTAACTGGCTGTATTGCAGAGAGGCGAAGGGTTAGTAAGTAAATGCCTATGAGAAATCGGATTACAGCCTGTGGCATTTGTTGAATATTATGCTTCAGCGGAAACCATGCCCTACTACGGAAACATGTACAAAGCTCAAGTGTCAACAAATAGTTACTGAGCACCTATCTCGTGTTGGGGATTATTCTGGAATGTACTTGTGATTAGGTAGCAAGTAGGAATCTCTGTATTAGAGTAGGGAACCTGCTCTCAAAAGCACAAACACATTCCAAAATGGTATGGGCCTTTAGGAAATAAGCCAAAATCTAAAACACAATAATCTATTTGACAAACTTCCCCCCACCCCAAAAAAAGAACTTTCCGTTTGTTTTCTTTTCTTAACTCTCTCCAAGGTCAGCTCCATTCTTTGTTCCATTGTAAGTCAAATCTGTGATGCAGCAGACCTGGTCTACTACACAGGGAGATGTCAGCTCAAGTTTTAAAGACTGGGACCAAACAAAATGACACAGAGTTTTATTAAAGGAAGATTATGAGGCTGGGTTTGGCTGACTTTTTCCACTTCATTCTCTGGCTAAGTGCTGGCTCATGCTCTGCACGTGACTGGTTGTCGAACTACTAAAAAGGATCACCAAGAACTCAGCTATAACATGCTATGGAAATACTAGATACCAGAACTGAGAAGAGAGATGGCCAAGTTCTAAGAAAACCACGATGGGCAAGGACATGAGCAATACCCAGGCTGGAGAAAATCAAACGGAGTCTTTGTGGTCTCAGGACCACTACTGAGACCGCTATGTGCAACTTCACATTATTCAGACTTGAGAAACAAAACCCTTGCGTGGGAATGAGGCCCTGGTACAGAGAATGGTTGGGTTTAAGATTTTATTTGAGAGAGAGAGAGAGAGAGCACACACACACAAGGAAGGAGGAGGGACAGAGGGAGAGGGAGAAGCAGGCTCCCCCTCTGAGCAGGGAGTCCGACATGGGGCTCTATCCCAGGACCCCAAGATCATGATCCGAACTGAAGGCAGACACTTAACTGACTGAGCCACCCAGGCGCCCCTAGAGAAGGGTTTTAACACAGTCAGGAAAAGGAAAGAAACAGGCGTCCCCTGCAATGCTCAGCCCCCCAGAGGAAGTACCAATAACGTGACCATTCCCCAGGCCTTCGGTCCCCACTCTCACGGACCCAACCAAGCTCAGGATGGTGAACCCAGGGTGCCAAGGACCACTTCTCCGTTTTGGCTCTGGAGTACCCAGTGGAGAAACAAAATGGTTGCCTAGCTTTTGGAATTTTCAGGGGCTTTGTTCCGGGGCTTCATTTATTTTGAATACAAATTCAAGTTCAGGGGCACCTGGGTGGCTCAGTCAGTTGAGCATCTACCTTCGGCTCAGGTCACGATCCCGGGGTCCTGGGATCAAGCCCCATGTCAGGCTCCCTGCTCATCGGGAACTCTGCTTCTCCCTCTGCCTCTCTCCCCACTCGTGTGCAAGTGCTCTCTCTCTTTCTCAAATAAAAATCTTTAAAAAAAAATTTTTTTTAAATTCAAGTTCATTCACATTCTACTCCCTCATAATCCTCAAAATCAATTGCTTCTTGAGTCCCTAAATAACTTACTTACTAAAGTACATTTACGTGGGGACCCAAGTCCAAGTGGTAGATCCTGCCCCGTGGGGATTAACACAAGGGGCAACTATACTCCAAGGTTGTCTTTTAATCCTCAATTCTATACTGATGCTCTATGGCATGACATGCCACTTAAAATATTCAACATAATTGTTCCTTTGGGTCATAGGTCCTCTTGACTAACATTTGAGGTCTTCCTTTTGTTTAGAAGGGTCTGTTGAGCCCTGATGCCGGAATCCTTGGGGCTGGGGTAGGAGTGGGAGTGGGGGGGGTTATGATTGCTTTGATAAAAGGCACATTTTTCAAACCTCTCTTAGAGATTAGTTATTTCTCAAAATATTTAGAAGCAGAGGAGGGAAAACTGTACACTCCTCCCTTCCCCCTTCGAAGCACTAACACAAAGAATGGATCAATGGTCTCAGGAAAAAATGCTTATTTAGCTTCTATGGTTTCATGATCATGCAGGGTCTTGATGTCAAAACTGAAGAGAAGAACATTCTGTTCTATGTCAGAATTACCTGTCTACTGATAGCTTTTAATGGATTTTATTGATATATAAGATACAGTTACAAGGTATTTACTATGTGCCAGGATCTCTTCTAAGTACTTTGCATGTATTAACTCATTTAAGCCTCCCCATAATCATATGAGAGGCATATTATCAATTCATTTCACACATGCGAAAGCAGAGGTCAAAAGAGATTAAGGGACTCAGACAAGATCTTCAAGGGAATGGCCAAGATTTGAAAGTGGGCACTTTGGTTCTAGAGCATGTACACTCAGCTTCCTTGATGTGTATCAGAGTGGCTTCTTTTGAGGAACATTACAGTAAAAGAAACTTGAGGGGAGCACAGGAAGCTTGGTCCTTTCCCCACAGCACCCCAGACCTAGCAAAGGGGATCCACGCACAGCAAATGCTCAGCTGTGAGGCTGGATGGTTTTCTGGTGAGAATTTGCAGTTTTCAAATGTAGTGACCAAATGAAACCATTTTTACGTTGGAGGGCAAGTTAGGATTCATCCACATGGTGGATGTGCTTGACCAGACCCTTCGATGAAATGACATACTGTTTAATGAACAACAAGGACTTCCTCAGCCATTGCTCTATCTTCACAATAGGTCGAGATGGCACAGGGGCGAGGGAAAAAAATATATATATACCACCCACCGTCCCTGCTCATGAAGAATTCAAAAGCTCCAGTAAACACTGCTGCACATGGAGGAAAAAAGAGCTCACTTAAACAAACGAACACCAGAAAACAATACACATATTTTACCAAAGTTTTAACATTTTTAAAGAATTATGGCTAAATGTAGCAGAGATGATCAATTTCTACTAGGAAGTGGGATATTACATAAGAAAAAGGTCTGACATCACTTACGTGAGAATGAGGTGGTCTGACTTGTTTAGTTTTGGGGGACAGTATGGTAGAAAGGGGACATCATCTGG